TTTGAACTTAGACAGTTCAGACCGCTCACTCAGACTGGTATGTTTAATTTTTATAATCTGATTGAAGCTTGCTCATTTGACTTTGTTGATGATGGTACCTTGGATGCAACTATGTACTAAATTTGTGAAGTTGATTGAAATACTGGAGAAGTCTTACTTGCATTCCTTTCCACTAAAGACCTTTAAAGTTAGAACCAATGACCCTGGTAATGGCTCTTGGTTTGACAACAATTTAAGGATTATGCGTGATCGACTTAGGTTGCTTTGTAAGATCAGTAGGCAATATAAAAGTCCCTCTGCCATTCAAGAGTTCAAATCCTATAAAAGAACTTATATAAATGCAATTAAAACAGCTTATAATGATAACATAATTCTGTCCGAAAAAAATCCCGTTAAAGCAATGTGGAAAATCATAAACAAATCGAGAAATGTAGACTCTCGCGAAGAAGTTAGCTCGCTTCTCTCACCTAGTGATTTCAATAAATAGTTTTGCAGCATTGCACAGGATCTCACTAGCAAGATTGGTCCGAGCGAGCTTGGTCCTTTACATCACCTAAACCACATGATTTCTCCACCTAATATTTTCAACTTTTCTCCTGTATCCTGCAGTGCAGTTAGGGATATCATAGACAACATTAAAAATAAGGCCAGCAGTGATATCTTTGGTTTGAGCATTAAATTGATCAAATTCATTTAGAATATTATTTTCATTCCCCTACTAGATTAATTAATTCCTGTTTGTGCCAAAATGTTTTTCCTCTTTTCGTACCTGTCTTTAAAAAGGGTGACAAAAATGAAGCCACAAATTAAAGGCCCATCTCATTTCTGCCGGTATTATATAAGATTGTGGAAAGATACCTTTGAGGTTGGTGAAGTTCTTCGAGGAGAACCGATGCTTTACTGAATGCCAGTTTGGTTTTCGAGCGGGCAGATGTACTACATTGGGTATATTGAATCTCATTGCCGATATTCTGGATTCTTTTGACAGTCTCCAATTTAGTGCTGTGCTTTTCTGTGACCTAAGTAAGGCATTTGACTGTGTTTCCCATGAAATCGTGCTGAGCAAGCTAGTACACTATAATTTTGGTACAGACAGTATTAAACTCATAAATTCTTATCTGGAAAATAGATTCCAAATTGTCAGTGTGGGTGGGGTGTGTTCTGCGGAAAGGGTTGTAAACTTAGGTTGTAAATATAGGTGTGTCCCAAGAGCCTGTCCTGGGGCCGATTCTATTTTTAATCTATATATAAACCACAGTCTCCATGTTAACGGAATCGGTTGATCAGGCAGTCTCACAGCTTGAAGCCACTCAGGATAGAGTGAGGGACTGGTTTAATGCTAATAAGCTGCTCCTGAATGAAGACAAAACAGAGAGATTGATTTTCTGCCTCAGAGACTCTAGAGGTATTAATGAAAAAGGGAAGATCGTTCGATTTCTTGGAGTGCTCATTGACCCCCCTCTAAGATGACATGCGCAAATTGATCAAGTTTCAACAAAGCTTAGACTTGTCCTTCGTTATCTCTCCCAGAGTGTCTCAGATAATGTTCTGAAAACTTTCTACCAAGCTATATTTCACTCTGTTATGACATATGGTATTTTGGTTTGGGGTCACTCCCCCCTTGTGGCCAGACTTTTGGATTTCAGAGAAAAGCTATCCGAATCGTAGCTGGGTTGGGCTTAAGGGAAGACTGCAGACAGGCCTTTGGGAGTTTAAATATACTTACTTTACCATCTCACTGCATACTTGAAAATCTGTTGTATGTGAAGGACAATGAGAATAAATTCGGGGTGCATGGTGGAGTCCACAGCTATGACACAAGACAGAAAAATTTGATCATCCCAGCTTATCATAGGTTGAAAAGGTGTCAGGACGGTCCGGACTATCTGTCAATTAAATTCAATAACATGCTTCCGAATTCCATGAAAAGCTCACAACGGGGCAAATTCAAGAGTAAGCAACTTTTGTGTTCAAAATGTTTTTACTCGTTTGAAGAGTTCCTTAGGTATAAATTTTAGACGTGTCCTTTTGACAACAAACTTTGCTGTGATTTGTATTCTACTGTCTTGTATTTTAATTGTATTTTAACTGTACTGTTTCTAAAGTAAGCTTGCGAATGTGTAAATATTATAAGGTAGATACGTTTCTGTCGTTTCTGCTTTTTTTCCGATGCAAAAACTGGATTTTTGTACTTGTAGGGACGTCAAGTAATCGATAATATTGCATTTTGAATGAGATTTAATGGATTGCAAATTAGTTTTCAAAGTAGGTATCTTTATAATATTTCAAGATAAATCTTTATTGTATTCAAGTGAAAAAAATGAAAGTATCCCCTTCAGCACTGAAAGTGTTTCAAGTGTTGACCTTTGATTATTGTTCACGTTATCTTATGTAGGGATAGAAGCAAGGCTGGGAAGTTATTTCCTTTCTACATATTTTTTTTCCATTATCGATTGAAAAAATACTTGTTAATGAAGAGTTTCAATACCTACTTGAGGACGTTTTAAAAAAATACGTATTGAATGTTTTCTTTTCTGTGTTTTTGCGATAGATTTTTTTAGACATTTTTTGATTATTGAATGACTTTTATTTGAAAATGTAATTTTGCATCTTGTTATAATATGAATTTGAAAATCTACTTAGAAACTTTCTACATAAAAATACATTTGTCATCAACTTTGTTGATTGTTTCAAGCACTTTTACAGTAGAAATTTGAAAGTTATACAGGGTGTCACGAAAGGTTTGTTACAAACTTCTAGGGATGGTAGATCTCGTAAAAATTAAGTTTTTTTTTTGATAAACATATGTCCGGAAATGCTTCCCTTTCTAGATACAGGGTGTTAAATTTTGCAAAACAAAGCCAATTTTTTTATTAATTCTTAGAAATGCGTTGGACGAATTAAATGAAATTCTCATAGTTTGTTGACACCTTTATGAGGTATCTTTTGCACTGCTCAGAGTTGACCCAGTAATTCCAGGGACGCGCCACAGGTTCTGTCGGATGGTTTTTTGCACGTAAAACATCGTCCAGTAGATTTATTTTCAATTAGGATATGTTTTTTGAATAGAACACTTAAAGATACAACTTTTTTGTCTCTTCATTTTTTTCCGTATGCTGCTTTTTTTTCGAGATAAAATATAAAAACCATTTTAGGCGAACCACGAACATCACTGAGTTCCATAAATTATAAAATAAATTGCCACAGAATTACCTGAAAATTTACCAGGCTATTTGTTGCTTAGAAATAAACAAAAAACTTTTTTCTACTACCGTGCGTAAAGTACTCACTTTACGCACTAGTGCGTAAAGGCATTCACTTCACACACTAGTGCGTAAAGTAATGTCAATGACAGATGCCGACGCTATCAATTTGGTATTTTCCTGGTAAATTACTTCACGCACTAGTGCGTAAAGTGAAAATTCTTTACGCACTAGTTCTTAAAGTAATCGTCTAAATTTATTTTTTTACACATATTTGATTGGCAGTAGAAAAAAATGTGTATGCAATACGTGCGTAAAGCAGCTTTTTTAAAGGTTCACTTTACACACTTGTTGCATAAATAACTATTTTTCTAAAACGCATGCACTTCTGAGAATTAATGTAAAAATTGATTTTTTCTACAAAGTTTTACACCCTGTATATCTGGAAAACAAAGCATTTCCGGACACATGTTTATTAAGAAAAAAACTTTATTTTTACGAGATCTACCAGCCCTAGAAGTTTGTAACAAACCTTTCGTGACACCCTGTATACATTGAAAGATCACGAAATATTTCAGTTTCTTAAGAGTTCGGAAACTTTCACTTAGTAAACATTTCAAAATCCAATAATAAAATTTAGATGCTCCTTGATATTTTTAAATTTGACTTCATAAGTTATATCAATGTTCATTGAGTACCTACCTTGACAAGGTAAAAAAACAACCAGCGGGCCATTTAAAAACTTCTATGACACGGATTGGTACATATAGCTACCCAACTAGACAAGGTAAGTATAAAAATCTCCTTTATTTCTAATCTCTTTCTTAAGCAGCGTTTTCCTAGCAACGCACATTTTACGCGACGTAGAACGTAATACGGCCGACGCAACGCAACAGCTAATGCGCTGCGTAAAAGTGTTTTCCTAGGATTGTCAGTTGCGTCCCGATCGTCGCGATGAGTATATCAATAAAGAAATTACTCGAGAAATTAGCTTTGGCTTTATTCGAGGCTTTATTATTATGTCTGCTTCTGCAGAAATCACAAACCAGTCAGAGCGAATTTCATTGGTTGAAAACAGTCAGAAAACTAGTTTCAACCAATGAAATTCACTCTGACTGGTTTATTATTTCTGCAGAAACAGCCCTATTATTACAAGATGAAAATTTGCAAGAAGAGATTGATATAATAGTTACGATTTATGATAGGACTAGAAATTCTGCTAGTCAATTATTTCAAAAAAGAAGAAGCGAAGGAGCATTTAGAGATACTTATCCATAAACATCTCGACGACGAAGTTAAATTTGAAAAGCATATTTTATAGTTACAAGGCAGCAAATCTCATTTCTCCTCAATCTTGTGAGAAAAGATTTAAGTAAGGAATCATGGTAATCGCGTGCGACATCCTATTTCGCCACCTGAAAAGCTTGGCCTAACATTGAGGTATGTAAATATAATACAACAGGAGCATTTTCTTTGCCAACACGCAGCGTACAACTGAATAGACTGCTCTCCGAGCAGTCGTTCAGTTGCGTCGACCGTATTACGCTAGCGCAAGTCGTTTTTACGCGGTGTAGGAAAACACCTCCATTTGATTTTCATTAGACATGTCCTCAGCGTTTTACGCCGACCGAATTACGTTCTACGCCGCGTAAAATGTGCGTTGCTAGGAAAACGCTGCTTTAATTTGTTGCCAACATAATAGATATCAATCATGTCAGTTGTTGAAAAAAAATCAGACTTTATATACCGTATCTATAAGAAAAGTGCCATAGGGTCGGTGTGTCATTATTGACTTACCTGCCAAACTTCCAGAAGCCAAACTCCCAATTACGGAAAGTACCAGAACCCATAAACCAATCCCGCCACTCATTATCCCTATTAGTAAGAATTATTACGTGGAATTTTGACTTTCGAAAATATTTCAACAGTCACCGTGTCCACACCTCACGTGAGCCCATTGTGGACCTCCATAAAAATGTCACCATTTCTATATACATAAATTGATCCTCAATTATTATTATCTAAAACAACAAAACAAAAATCTAAGATTAGATATTACATATAGACGCCATCTTTTGTCAATTTATTCGTATTTTCTAAGGATAATTATTGCGATTTTTTTTTAATGTCGAATAATAGGTATTAAGCAAGTTATTGATCACTTAAATACCTACATACTTGAAATTAGCCATACATTAATACATAATATGCCAATGTATAGTAGAAAATAACAATTATTGTTCAAGATGATAATAATATAAATATATAGCTGATGAGTCTTGTTTATATGTGGATATCCACACGTGTGTGTACGTTCTAGAGACCGGAATGATGTATGTATTGATGATGCAGCTTTAACAATTACAGAATGGACTTGCGGATTCCACCAAAGCCTAGATGTCAAAAAAAGCAATTCAACATAGAACGCCTTCAAGACGATCATATCAGGACAAACTTCTAAGCCAGAAACTTCCGTTAGAGTACCTGGAAGGCATTGAGGAACACTAGAAAATATTGAAAACGAAAGAACAGAGGAAGAGTTTGATGCGGGGTTTGAAGCCATCAGAAAACGCACAATAAGAATAGAATAGGAGATAATCATATTCAGTATCGAGTGATCGCCTATGATGATGATGATGAGGATGGATATCCACAACCTAGCGGGCAGCTTAGTGTTTATCAAAACTTACAGATTGTTTCACTATTTTTCAATCAAATGCAATGATTGGTTAGACAATTTATCTTAAAAAAACAACTGTTACAGCGCAAATAGAATAGTTTATTCAAACATTTCGTTTGATGTTATTGCATTTAACAATTAACAGCTAATAAATTCAGATTCCCCATGGTGACAAAATTATTATTATTTAACATATTTTATAAGAATGTAAACAAGAAATGCTTAGCACAGTTCGCAATTGATTGATTTCCAGGCTGTGGTATGAGTCAAAAATTTGATATTTGAAATTCACTTTTCTTTGTGGAAAATGAGCTGAGAAACCAAGTTGCTGAACTAATGTGTTAAGAGATTTCCAAAGAAAGTTGTTGAAAAATATCTTTGGAAAAACAAAAGTGTTTTAACCAAAGCTCCAACACACTGCTATAATTACCAAAACTTTGAGTTTGTATTTCTCTGACACGGTCAGATGAATCTCCTTTAAGCCTGTTTCCCTCGAGTTGACGTGCTTTCGCTTATGTTGTGTTTTCCAAGGATATTTTTCAAAAAGTTTCTTTTCTTTGAGATGCCTTTTCCAGTATATTAACTACTCGAATTTAAACACACTCTCCGCACATGGACCCTTCCTGTAGAACAACTGGATTTTGAAAGATAAAAATCCAGAAACAACTTGGAACCACGAAATGGACTAGTGGGGACGAGCAGCAGACATTCCAGAATGGAAAGAGTTACATAGGGGGGTCAAATGAAGCATGACATAGTGGACGACATCAAAATGAATTGGTACGGCCAGTTACAAAGAATGCCTAAAGAGCTACTTCCAAAGCAAGTTATAGGATGAAGCTCTTAACGGAAAAGGAAGATAGAAACAAAAGGAGAGTTGTAGAGCGAGTATACACCGTGATTGTCGTAACCCGTGCATTAGAATTCAATTGGATTGCAGATGGATTTATAGAGATAGCATCAAATCCACCTGTAAGCTAATGCACGGGCTACGTAGATCACCCTGTATAATTAAGTAAATAAGACTATGCGAAATAGTCCTGGTGAAACATTAACTCTCTAAGAAGTTGGAAACGTATCTGGTACAGTGGTTTAGACTGCTATTAACAATCTCGTGGATTCGTGGCTCATTCTCGTTGATTTCTTTCCAGAAGAAATTCTAGTCTAAGCCATGTTCTGGGTGTGCATCTAGAGATCCGTAGGTTATCATAGGTCTGATGACCATATGGTGTAAATCCAGTGGATTTGCTTTGGATTTGTGACCCAGGTCTTTCCACGGATCCTGCGGTAGTATGTATTTCTTTTTCCAAATATACCCAATAACCAAACACTACAAACCCAGGTTGAGAAGAAAAAGAAAATACCGATCACGAAAAGTGTATGATTTCAGCATTACTTCCATATGGAAGAAAACAAGCAGCTGAAGCATCTTTTAAATCGGACAAAGTAAAAAGCATGGATCCAAAAAAATACAAAAAGATTGAAGATATGCTGAGAATCAGATTCAATCAAAGGGCTAAACAGCCCATTTTTCACATTAAACAACTTAACGACACAAAAGAGGAACTACGAGTTAGGCGAGCCAATGGGGAGGAAAATCTTATTTTAAGATATACTAATGGGATTCCGACTTTAACCGCGAAAAACCCGAACCCCGCGCCACTTCAACCAACGAGTTAACCTGCACATACCAGAATGTTCGAGGTCTCCGTACCAAAACTAACATCTTTTACATCAGCGTGGCTTCCTCTGGATACGATTTAATCACTGTTACCGAATCTTGGCTTCAGCCTGATGTTCTGGACTCAGAACTCTTTCCAGACTCTTACATAGTTTACCGCTCCGATAGAAGAACTGATTTGATGAATGTCTCCAGGGAAGGTGGAGTGATGATTGGTTGCCACAGCAGAATTAACTCGGAGCTTCTGGATCTTGGTGATATTGCTACGAATGTATCGAACATTGACTTTTTAGGTTGTAAGCTTACTTTAAATTACTTTATATTTTATGTAGTTATTGTATATATCTCCCCTTCTATATTCAGCTTCGAAACAGATACTTTATTTCGAATTTCTTGCGTCAATGAATATTATGCTTCACAAAAATCTAATTTTGCTGGGAGATTTCAATCTTCCTTCATTTTCAGCACCTATTCCTCTGGGCTCCAGACACAGAGGATTATTAAATCTCAGCGAGTTTCTTGGTCTAAGACAGTATAACACTATTCCAAATTCCAACAACCGTTTCCTTGACCTGGTGTTTGCAAACTTTGAAATAGACATTGCACATAATGTTGCACCTTTAGTCAACGAGGACCTACATCATCCAGCTCTGATTTTTGATATCCAAGCTGTGCTACCTCATGCAGTCAACTTTCCTGTAAACAACGATAACCCACCCCAATTTAACTTTCGTAAGGCGGACTATCCTAGGCTGTACGAGTCGATGCTGCACACAGACTGGTCGCCCATTACTGAAATTTCAAATGTGTCAAATGCGTGTGAAGCTTTTTATGATATCCTCCATAATATTTTTTCTGCTTGTATACCCCCTAAATTGCCTAAGCGAAGGCGTTTTCCCTCCTGGTTTAGCAGGGAACTGATTGATAACATCCTGAAGAAGGAAAGGGTGCGTCGTCATCTTCAAACCCACCAGTCCGCTTATTATTATAATAAGTTCAAGTCACTGCGTAGCCTAATAAAAACTCAATCTCAGCAAGCTTATAAGGATTTTATCAGGAGTGCCGAATTAAATATCAACAGCAACCCCTCCAATTTTTGGTCTTTCATTCAGAGTAAAAAGACACAGTCACGCATACCCGCCGCTATGCATTTTGCTGACCGTACCCTCAATAAATCGTTTCCGCCTCTGCTGACTTCTTTAAGAGCGTCTATAAGAACTCGGAGCAAGCTGAACATATCAGAGCTTTCGAAAACTGGTTGAAATCCCAACGGTCACTATTGAGGACGTCACCAGTGCATGCAAGATTTTGAAGGAAAAAGCTACATCTGGTCCAGACGGCATTCCTAGCTTCTTTGTAAGAGATTGCTCTGTTGTTCTAAGTAGTCCCCTCTGTCACATTTTTAATCTGATATTAAGAAACGGCGTATTTCCAGATGTCTGGAAGATTGCCAAAGTTTGCCCTATTCTAAAAAAGGACGACCCATCTCAAGTTGAAAATTATCGTGCTATTTCTATTCTGTGCAACTTATCCAAAGTATTTGAAATTATCTTACATAAACATTTATTCTTTTTAATTCAAAACCGACTATCAATTCATCAACAGGGCTTTTATTCCAAAAGATCATGTATGACTAACCTTTGTTCCTTTTCATTTTATGTATGTGATGCTTTTAATGAAAGGAGTCAGGTCGATGTCATCTACACGGATTTTCGTAAAGCTTTCGATCAAATTGATCATCACTTACTTCTGCAGAAAGCATTTAGCCAGTTTGGTTTTTCTAACAGACTTGTTTCAGTACTAAAATCCTACCTCTTGGGTCGCCGACAATTTGTTGAGATCGAGGGTTTTAGATCAGACCTATTTGTGCCAACTTCAGGGGTCCCCAGGGCTCCAACTTGGGGCCGCTTCTGTTTAATATTTTTATCAACGACCTTATTTGTATGACAGACGGAAACAGAGTTGCATATGCTGACGATTTAAAAATATATAGCCGCATCGATGCTGTACTCGACTGTGTATCCCTCCAAGCTAGTATCAATGAGGTCAACCAGTGGTGTGTTGCTAACAGACTGGATCTCAACATCTCTAAGTGCAATGTTGTCTCTTTTTCTCGAAGAATTAATACTATTCAGTGTAATTATTCCATTGGAGGCTCGATCTTAGACAGAAAGTCAACGATGAAGGACTTGGGGGTGGTTTTTGACGAGAAGTTGATATCTATCAGATGGTGACTACCGCTTCAAGGACCTTGGGCTTTATAATAAGAAACTGTAAGCATTTCTCTAACGTTGCAACTTTTAAGCTCCTATACTATTCTTTTGTTAGATCTAGGTTGGATTATGGTTCTGTTGTGTGGTCCCCTGTCTATGACTGTCATCGACGGTCTGTGGAGTCAGTTCAGAGGTGTTTTTTAAAATATGTTATATTTAGAGAGGATGGCATTTACCCTCAGCGTTGCCTCGACCATGGTCAGATTTTAGCCAGATTTGGGGAGCTGCTCCTAGCTGTACGACGAGACTTTCAAACAGTATGCTTTCTACACAAGCTTCTGAATTCTAAAATTGACTGCCCATTCTTGTTAGAACAATTACCATTTCACGTACCCCGTGTAGAATCCAGACATCAACCAACATTTTCCTGTTCACACGTTCTGCTGC